CTCTCTCTCTCTCTCTCTCTCTCTCTGGGCAAAACCAGGCCAATCGAACGTGAAATACGAACGATACGCGTCGTAAAATCGCCAGAATTCTTGCCCGAAGATAAAACGTAGCTCGACGTTTCGGTTAGGATTTAAAAAAAAAATGGCGTGGCCTTGAGAAAGATTGATTGATAGATTTTTATGATCAAAAGATTCAAGACAATGGATACTGTTGTAGAACTTTGGAAATCTTTTGCTCGAAACTCTTATCTTTCCTCATCTTCGTTAATCTCGCGAATCTCCTGCAGTTTCTCGATCGAGTCAACGATAAAATCAATTCAGAGAAATTCCAAACTCCATTGATTGATTTAAACAGAAAGTTACTCAATCAGCATTTTCAGGCTTCTCCCTGAAAATAGTCAAATCTGAAATACGTGAAAGGTGATCTTCGAAAGAATCAGCCCTCTGAATTCGAAGAATTAAAGTCAAAGAATTCTAAGAATTCTTCGTAACGCCTGATCTTCTCGTAGGCGAGATTCGCCGACGATCGGTGGAAACCTAAGAAACTCGTAGATCTCGATGGAAATTGCAGGCTCATCACGTTGTCGCGCTAATAGCGAAGAAACGTTGCCGTGCCGAGGGAGAAGCGTCCGTGAAATAGCGAGAACAACAGTGAATCAAGATCCCCGAAACGACTCCCTGAAAGGGAGCAGGGCGGATGAGAGAAAGAGAAATAAAAAAGAAAGGGTCGCGGAAAGAAGACGAAACACGCAGTTCCATAACCGAGTTAACGTGAAATTTTATATCCGCTCGGTCCGTACACTTTCCTTGGCCATCCACCCATCCCCTTTGACCTCGTTTCCAACATGCTTGCCGTCATAATCCCTGGTCCTCCTCCTCCTTCTCCTCCTCTTCCTCCTCCTCCTCCGTCTCGCCCTCTCTGCCGCTGTTACAACGAGGTTCGACACTCTTTCGAGTTGGCACGTCGACAACAGAGAAAGAGAGAGAGAACCCGGCACGCTTCTCTTCTCTCCCCCTCCTTCGTCGCTTTTCCTCGTTAAATCTCGATTAAAAAGTCAAATTAAGAAATCGAGTTACGCGCCGCGCTGTCGCTCGTCAGTTGTCTCGTTAATACCGCATTGTCGCTGACGGAAGGGACGGAATAGGGCTGACGACGCTGTTTCCGCTCCTTTGCTCAAAGTTACTTGCCTCCTCTTTGTATTTCCCTCTTTCTCTCCTTCGCTTCTTCTTCTTCTTCTTCTTTTTTTTTCCTCCCCCACGGAGGAAGAAAAGCAGCGGCGGTTATTGAATTTCATCCAGCTTCCTCGTTTCGCTTTGAGGATCCGCGAAGTCCCCACGGTAGCGCGGGGATCGTTTCGGATTTTCAATTTTTACGAGGCTCGTAAACGTCGATGATATTTGACAGACAATATCTCGAAGTATATATATATATATATATATATATGTCTACCGTTCAAGAGTTGCTCATTCAGAACGCGGCAATAGACTTCGTAGGGCAGCTTCGCTGTATAGCTATACGATATATCCTCTCTGCCGTAGAATGCCTGAGCACGCAGTCCCAAGACGCGACTGCGGCGACAGGAGCGAAGACGCTCGAACAGGACGTCCCCAAGGAGAAGGTAAACGAGCCTAGCAATGTGGGCATGACGACGACGACGACGACGACAAGCGCCGCTAGCACACCGCCAGCGGCCGAATCGTCGCCTATAGCACGAACTGAGACGTCGGTGATCACCTGCACGCCGGCCACAAGCTCGCCATCCACCGTGGTAACTCCGCAAACGACAGAATCGATCGCCTTGGGCGTCGAGAACACAACGACCACCACGTCCACGTTGCCTTTCGCCGCTCCCAGATCACCGTCCAAAACGACAGTTCACACAGACAGTGCGCATCAGCAACGCGCGAACCTGCTCCATCACACGCCACCGGGGGAACCTTCTCCGCCGTCGAGCACCGCCACACCGTACCACAACGCCGTGGAAGAAACCACGGCGGACAATTCCACGTCGGACAATTCCACGTCCGTTTCAAAGATAGGGTCCAATAATGGCATCGTGATTACCAATTACGTGTCCCCGATGTTCAAAGACCGTTCAGCAGCCGAGACCGAGGCTGCACACGATTTACTAGAACTCTCGAGATCGCTGCCCCCGTTACCGCCGCCCAGCATCGCCATTGGGCCGCAGAGCGTGATAGAGTCGCCCGCGACTGACGTCCAAGAGATGACGGTCTACCAACCGGACCAACCCATCTATCAAGTGAACACCATCGATCTGGCCAACTCCACGATCTACGCGCATCATCAACAGCACCAAGCATCGCCGACAACGAGCATCATCTACGAGCCGAACGCGGCGATAGTCCAGCAAACCGGCAGCGTGTTCATCCCTCTGTCGCCTGTTCAAGAGATTCTGCTCACTTACAGCACACCGTCCATCCCGTGCACGCCGATCGTCGCAGCCCAGCAACCACCTCAACTGTTGCCGCAGCAACATCAGAGCATAGAGGCGGTGCCGCCGTTAACGCCACCTACGTCCGAGTGCAACAGCGACATCGAGAACAACAATCCGAACTCGCAACCCAGTCAGAAGGACAAAGAGGTGCAAACGGTGACCGAGCAGGCCGAGGTGAAACCGGCCAGCTACACGTACGACACTTTGCTAGTGGCCGATGGCAGGTCGAAGAACAAGAAGATAGCACCGACCCAGAAGGCGCAGGAGACTGAACCGGTTGAGGCCCCTGAGACGTCGAAGGTCGGACGCTACGTTTGCTGCGAGTGCGGTAGGTCTTTCCAAGGAATTCAAGACGCAGACTGTTAATTCCTCGTTCCACTTCTCCCCGCTACGTTTCAGAAAAGAAATATATTGCATCGCAAGGGAGGATGATTTCAAGTCAAAGTTACTTTGATAGGAATTCATTTAGACATGGAAATATTTCTTTCTTTTTTCCTTGTCCCTCGAAGTACGATGAAACTCCACTTGCACGAACTTATCGAAGGACAAATGGTTTATATAATTACATAAGAAGAGTTTTCATATAAATGATGAGTTTCTCCTCAAACTCAAATAAATGGATTCAACCAATTCAGAATCCATTTAATCACTAATTATCGGTATATAATGAATTTGAATTTTGAAATATATATATATATATATATATATATATATACATATGTTCCAACGTGAAATATGTATAAGTGTAAAATTTTATATTTAAGATTTAAATTTAAAGCATAT